AAAGGAAAGGTTTATTTGGCTCACAGTTTGAATGCACAGTCCATTGTGGCAGGAACATGAAGCAACTGTCGTTGCATCCTTTGGTAGGACTGGGGGAGTGAATGATTAAACTTTCCTGGGAACACCCTTATAGACATTCTCAGGGGCATTTCCATGGTGAGTCTAGATTTGTTCAAGTTGACAGTGAAGATGAAACCACCATAGTCACTAACAAAGTGATGGGAAGTTTTTCTTTCCCTGACGTTCTGGTAACTTAAAATTTGTATCCAGTTTCTTCAGTTCCTTGGATTCTCTGCTATGTTGCTGTGAGGAATAGGGGTTTCCTGTGAGGATCTCCGGGCAAACTTTCTCACCCCCTTTCCAGTGCCAGTGTGTTGTCCTGTAACCACTGAAGACTGTGGTCCAGTGAGGTCTAGTGGCCTTCCTCACTTTGTATCTCTAGCTGTGGGATTTGTCATTCTTGAGAGAGTGGTAACATCACTCCTGTCTGGCTTTGATTAGCAGCATGCCTTACTCTGTTTTGGAAAGTGCTTTACCATTGTGCCATGTCTTAAGCCTTATCTGGCTCTTCTGACCTTCAAACAGACGATTTGTGATTAATAATAATAATACCACGTAACTATTTAACCTGCCTCATATTACTTAATTTCCCTCAATTAAAGAGAAAATACTTAAAATATTTTTCCATTTTTAAATTGCTAACTTCAAAAATGGGCAAAGTTTTCAGAGTTAAAGTGTGTGTTTGCTTCATTTATTACACTTTTCTAGCAGTGTCTCTCAATTCACTCTCAAGGTGGTAGTCAGAGTTCGTTTTGTTTATTTTTGAGAAGAAAAGAATGCCCAGTGAGTTGCAAACAAACAAGAAAATAGGAGGGGAGTAATTGGGGAAAAAAAGAGTCAGAAGGATGTGGAGGGAGGAAGGACAGGATGGGGTGTGAAAAGGCAGCTTGGAGGTGACTGTGATCAAGTGTGTTCTTTACTTGTGTGAAACTGTTAAAACAAAAAAAAGGTAGGGAGCAATTGAGGAGACATCTGAAGTCAGCCTCTGACCTCTGTGTTAGCAAATCTCTCTTCTTTCTCTCCCTTCCCGTTTCTTTCTTACCTCCCTCTTTCTCTCTCCCCACCTTCTTCTGCCTCTGGGAATTGAACTGAGGGCCTTCCTTGTACATGCTAGGTAAGCACTCTACCACTGAGCTAAATCCCTAGCCCTTAGTGAATAATGTGTTTCTCATTCTTTGTTTTTAATTTGTGTGTGCCTCTGTATTTAAAGGAAGATTACTTATAATCAGCATATAATTGGATCTTGCTTTCAGTTTTTTTAAATTTTGCATATATTTATTTTGTGTGCATGTGTATGTCTTTGTGTGAGTGTCTTCATGCTCTGGGGCATGTGGAGGGTAGAGGACCACTTGTGTGAGTCGGTTTCTATTTCTACCATGTGGGTTCTGGGTGAATTTGGATGCTCAAGTTCAGTACCAAGAGCATTTACCCACTGAGCAATCCCACTAGCCCTCAAAATTTGTTTGTAAGTATTGGACAGTGTATCTTTCAATTGGTGTATTTAGATTGTTGCCATGTAGAGTGATTAACATAGTTGGGTTAATACCATATTTATTTTATTTTTTCACTGTGTATTTGCTGCCTTTCTTTTATCCTCCTTTTTGTTTATTGCCTATTAGTGTTTTCTCCTTTTTTTCCCATTTGTAGTTTTGAGTTGCTTGTTTATGTGTATGTATGTGTTTTGTTTTTATTTTATGTGTATAGATGTTTTGCTTGCATGTGTGTCTGTACACCACTAGCATTCCTGATGCTCTTGGAGGTCAGAAGAAGGAGGCATCAGTCCCCTGGAATTGGAGTTATAGTTGTGAGCCATCATGTGGTACAGGGAGGTACAGGGAAGCAAGCCAAGTCCTCCAGTCCCTTAATTGTTTTATTTGATTCCATTTTTCTCTTATGTTAGCATATCAATCACAAAATACCACAATAAAATACAATATATACTCAGGAGACAAAGGCAGACCCCCCTCCCCTCCTTTTCTCTCTCCCTCCTATACACACATACACACACACACACACACACACACACACACACACACACACACACACACACACACACACACACCAGGAAGATTTTTAGAACTATAATAGAAGTAAATGGTTCTTGAATACAATAACAGTTTGGTGAGTAAATATGTATTGTCTAAGTGCTAATTTTGTATTAAGTAGAGTGAAAATTGTTTTGTTTGTACTATAGGAGAATTTTAAACACAAAGACTATATAGACCATCAGAAGGATAAAGTTGCTTTAACATTGGCTCGCCTTGCCCGTCATGTTGAAGTGGAAAAACAACAAAAAGAAGAGAAGAATAGAGCATTCAGGGTATGTTTCTACTTTAATTAGGATTTATTAACTTATAGAGCTATTGATAATAAAGGTGTAAAGATATTTCAAAAAGAATAAATAGAATGTTTGAATAATTCTAGTGAGTGATTATTCTACTTAAAAACACACAGAAAATGTCTTGTAATTATTTTTGGTGTTTGAATTGTGGTAGTCTGTAACTTATGTGTGTGTGTATGCATGCCTGTGGAGAACAGAGGTCAACCTTGGGTGTTTCTCCTTAGGAACCATCTACTTTGTGTTCTGAGACAAGGGCTGTCATTGGCTTGGAACTGGTGGATTGGATAGGCTGGCTGGAGGGTGTTCCCCAGGGATTCGCCTGCCCACCTTTCCAGCTCTGCAGTTAAAGCACATGCCATTGTGCCTGGTTTTTATGTGGGTCCGAGGGGTTGAACTCAGGTCCTCATGCTTACGTGGCATGTTACTCCCTGAGTCATCCCCCTAGCCCCTGATGTTATTACTAAAGAAGATTTTATTGCATTGATTGTGTAGTAAGAAACTGGTGGCTTGTGAAGTTGAGATGCATGCTTTGTGTATTGAAAAATCATATTACTACATTAGGGCTTTAGAAGTTCTGTAGGAAGGATACTTTAAAATTTTTGTATTAAAGCCAGTATTTCTATGTTTTCTTGACCATAGAAAATTTAAATATGTACATGTCAACATTCTTGAGACTTGTTTATGGCTGTCCTTTGGAACAATATTTTATAAATGGTCTTCAGGTTGAAATCTTGGTCAATTTTTTTTCTCTTCACATACCCTTTGCCTTAGATAGGGTTTCTATTGCTGTGGTGAAACACCATGACCAAAAGCAAGTTGGAGAGGAAAGGGTTTGTTTGCCTTACACTTCCATATCACAGTTCATCGTTACAGGAAGTCAGGACAGGAACTCAAGCAGGGCAGGAATCTGGAGGCAGGGGCTGATACAGAGGCCATGAAGGATGGCTGCTTATGTCTTGCTCCTCATGCCTTGCTCAGCCTGCTTTCTTATAGAACCCAGGACCACCAGTCCAGGAATAGCACCACCCACAATGGGTTGGACCCTCCTCCATCAATCACTAATTAAGAAAAATCTCCAGAGGCTTGCATACAGCCTGATCTTAGAAAGGCATATAAAGAAGGCGACCTCTTCTCTAAAGACTCTAACTTATGTCAAGTTGACATAATACTATCCTTTACACCCTTTCTTATAGAAAGTCTATGATATGGCGAAATCATTCATTATCCCTAGGTCCTGAAGAATACAGACTTACTGACTCTGGTTAATTATCATACCTAGTACAATATAAATGCTATGTAATAGTTGTTACATTATGTTGTTTAGGGACTAAGAAGAAGCAAGTTAGTACATGTCAGTACAGATGCAGTTTTTTCAGAAAATTTGGTAAGAGGTTGATCACATCTACATACATATGAAATGTGGAAAGGAAGAGCTAAATACATACACGTATTTTCAGGAGTCAAAATGTACCTGTTTGTGGATTTTTGTAAATAAAGCTTTATTGGATACTGCCCTACTTGTTGACATGCTGTCTATGACTGCTCTGATGGTACAGCAGCAGAGGTGAGAGGTGGCAGAGACTACACAGTGGGCTAAGCCTGACATGTTTTCTATTCAGGTCTTTTTGAAAATGTATGCCACCTCTAAGTGTAGATGGTAACAGACACTTTGTACTGCCATGTAGTAAATGCTACTGAATGTCTGATATAAATATTATTCATTGAACAAGTATTTACTAAGCTCTTTTGTATAGAAAACTAAAAAAATTTGAAAATGTCTAAAATTTTAAAGATGAAGTCAATTCTTTCTATTTCCATTACAATATTGCCTTAATAATACTTATTTTTAGCCTTTTTGAAAACTTCTTCAGATATAGTTTATATAATTTGAAATGAATGACTCCTTCATTTTGTCCTTATTTATTTCACACCATTTGGTAACCCACAAAAATATGTTCTTACCACATGGAAAATATTTGGTCATTGTTTATAGGCTTGCGTCAAATGTTTATGCTGTAATTTACCTCCCTATTGTTGGAGATGTAAATATGTAGCAAACTTTGCACAAACAGCTGTGGGCTCACCATCTTAGTGCAGTACACATGACTTTACTTTGTATGTATGACCTTTGGTATAAATTTCTAGATGAGGAGTTCTTGGGATAAAGAGTATTCAATATTTTCTATCCCTGATGTATCAAAGTCTTTTTACCCAAGAAACAGGAGTTACTGTAAGTCAACTGAACTAACTTTTTTCTTGTTACCTTTAGGAAAAACTTGATTTTCAACATGCTCATGGTTTACAAGAATTGGAGTTTATTCAAGGACATTCAGAAACAGAAGCAGCAAGACAGTGTGTGGACCAGTGGCTAAAAATGTCAGGTATTCCTTAGAGATCACATTTCAATTTCTACGCCTTTTGAGAGCCTGCAGGTAGAAAGTGTGTGGGTTTGATTCCATTGCTAGTGAACATCGACAGGACTGGAATCTAGTGTTAGGGACGGAGTGACGGTCAGGTGGGGCACAGGGACCGCGCATCAGAATGCCAGACATGTCAGTATGTGTTTGTAGTCCTAGTGCTGTGGAGATGGGGGCAGGAGGTCCCTGGGGCTCGCCGGCCGGCCAGCCTAGCTTAGTAAGTTCAGGTAGCTGAGAGACCTTGCCTTCCACAAAGGTGTATGGCACCCAAGAAACGACACGTAAGGGACACCCAGGCTTTTCTTGCCTCCAAATATGGTGTGCACATATGTGAACATGTACACACACACACACACACACACACAGATTTAGTTTTACTGATACTAATGTCACTCCACAACTGTGGCCTGTTTTACATTGGCCTACTTTGCTGTTGACTTCTTTGGCCCAAGTATATTTTGAATGTGAATAAGATAGGTCATCCCTGAGCTCTTTAGATATTTATTAGACATTGTATAAAGTAGTCCATGTGTCTCTGGACAGTGTGACAGTCAGAATTCAAAGTGAGATCTGGTGGATTTCTCTTTCTTCATCCACTAGTGTGGCCCATGCTGACACTTTGTAGGAAGTGTTCCCATGAGACTGTTTTATTAAAGTTCGGCTAGCCCTTTTTTGTTGCTTTCTTTGAGTTCCCTGGAAGGACCGCTGTGGAACAGTTTTTCTCCAGGTAAGTAATGTGGAATTTTCAAGAGCTAGTAGCAGGACCTTACTTTCCATGTCTTTTCTATCGGGAATTTTCTAGAGTTAGTTCAACCAGTTGAACGGTTTAGGTTAAAGAGAAAAGAAGAATTCAAGGGAAAGAGCTTTCCCAACTTATATAAATGAGGAAGCTTGATTGTGTTTGCACGCACAGGCACATGTGTATCCTAATAACTATTGTGAACACCTAATTATAAATAGGACCATCTACTTGATACTGTGCTCTAATGTCTATTGTTCTGTCATTATTCTGAAGACCCCAGTCCAGTGCACAACTATCTGAAAATAGTAACCTAAGAATGTATGTCATGATGTTGTAGGACTCAAAACAAGTGCAATTAATTCTGGGAAAAAAAAATCATTCCAAAGTGGAGGCAGAATGGGGAGGTCTGAGAAGCCAATTCTGTGTCCTATAATGCACTGTAACAGGGAATTTGACAACGGGCACCTTCTCTTAGGACATTTGAAAAGGTAAGTGGGATGCTCCAGATTCAGAGGTTAGTTACCTGGAGGGGAAGTGGGTTTTGTTTTCTGTGGGCCTAGAGATCCAATCTAGGGTCTTGTTTTGTGTGTAAACAGTCCTCAAAATGAATTTTTAAAATGAAGTTTGATACCTTTACCAATATAGTTTTAGCTTAATATTTGAAACTCAAGTTGTTTTGTGATATTTTGATATGTTATTTGTAATTTATATTTAGGTTTTCTAGAAAAGTAGGTGAGATTTTAGATCGTTCTTTAGTATTATGGTGCAGTAGAAATAGTTGTAGAGAAATCCAACCTATAAAAGTAAATTTCAGGAGACAGCATTTACAGGTATTTTGACTATCTTACATAATCTGATGCAGCATTCCAAAGAAATGACCCAAGGCAGACTTGACAGTACATACTCTGCTGTTGCCCATTTACTGATTGGCTGGGCTGCTTTCTAGTAGCTCCTGAGAAAGCAGAGGGTTTTAAGAGTCTCCTTTTCAGGTAGATGACAGATGGGAAATTGAGAGTTTGGGGCTTCCAGCCATTTCCCTTTCCCGATGTCTGAGAGAAGTACAGAAAGTTTTGTGTGTCTTTTGTGTTCATGTGGATTAGCTTTACAAGCAAAGCAAACTGGTTTATCTTCTGGAGAGTAGAATCTTTCTGACGTTACTTCTCTTGGTTGTGTAGGTTTGATCACTCCCCATGTGATCCAACAATTACATTACATGGACCTCTCGCCAATTCCTTTGCTTGTGTTGTATGTTATGAACATTTTGTTACTCAACAGCAGTATAGGGATCACCTTCTCGCTAAGGTAAGAGCATGCAGTATGAGTAGATGCTCTTTCTCTGGGAGTTGGTACAGGTTTTTCATGTTGCTCTTAATCTTGCAGTCACTATTAACGCATGTAAAGATAAAAAATTTAAATATTGAAAATAAAATGATTTGGGGCACTTAGTTTATTAGCTAAACTCCAACAGTACTAGAGATTATCATTAAACCTTTCCTTCTGTGGTATATGAATTTATCTTCCTCAATATGCTCTATGATTTTGGTCACATGGTAGGAAATTACATCTTGTTCTTTAAAAAGAAAACCGTGTGTGTGTGTGTGTGTGTGTGTGTGTGTGTGTGTGTGTGTGTGTGTGTGTGTGTGTAATTCCCTGGAGCTGGTTGTGAGCTAGTCAGTGTGGGTGCTGATAATGGGTCCTCTGCAGGAGCAGTACACTCTTAACCACTGAGCTGTATCTCCCGCCCTCAAATTCTATTCTTCTCTCAACTTTACATGGTTACCAGGGATCAAACTCATGTCTCCAAGTTTGTGTGGAAAAGCACCTTTACCCTCTGAGCCATATCACTGTCCCTTGTATGCTATATTATTTTAATGTACCAGAAACATGATAAAAATGATTTTTTCTAGCTTCACTTACTAGACATTCTATTTCCTATTCCTTCTTCCAATTTTTAGATGGTTTCTGCAAATATGCCATTCTTTTTCTGGGGGGTGGGGGTTTTGAGACAGGAGTTCAATGTGTAGCTCTGGCTGTCCTAGAGCTCATGCTGTAGACCAGGCTGTCCTCAGACTCCTAGAGAGCCTCCTACCTCTGCCTTCTGAGTTCTGGAATTAAAGGAGTGTGCCACCACCACCTGGCAGATATGCCATTCTTTTGTAGTGGATAAAGCATAGTAAAATTTTATGTACAATAGTTTGATTCTATTGAGCAAATCTTTTAGGCAGTTTTTACTTTGGATCTGCTTATAACCTGGAATTGAACTAAAAATGGTTTGTTCACTTAAGATTCTTAAATTGGGAGAAATTTGTAGATTGATAATAAATGCCTTTATTGCTCTTATCATTGAGAAAATTGTAAATTTAATTCAGAATGTCTTCCTAGGTTTTTCTCCTCTGTGGCATTAGTCAAATTGAAACAGACCTAGGAATATGAGAGAATAGTGAAAAGAGCATAGAACCAGAGCCAGCGGTACAAAGCTCGCTTTAAATCTCAGATTTGTCTCTTTTAGGGGCATAACTTGTTTATGAGATGGTGGTAGCAGTGGTGATAACTGAAAAAGAAAATGATGCCTCATGGGGTTGCTGTAAGAATGGTTTGGGTAGTGTGGTCTTGACATGTTTTCAATGTAAATGCGAATTTCCTGTCCTTCCTCTTGTGTCTTGTAAGCGTTGTACATGTGTTAAGTTCCTAGTTTCACTGGGAGTACACCTAAGAAGACACGGTGTACATTTTAAGATTATTACTGTACAGATGGTTAGTAGGAGGGGAAATTTCCACCAGGCATACATGTCTTATTCATACAACATACAATTTTTAAGTTAATTTTAGAATAGAGGAGGCTCTAAACCAAGTTTAGAAACTTAGATGCACAAAACAATCTAACCAGGCATGGTCGTGCATACTTGCGTGCTCTACATCAGCTTTGGGAGAATAAAGCAAGAAAATCTGTTGAGTCCCTGAGAGCTTGACACAACAATGTAGTGGGACTCTGTCTCAGAAAACAAAAGCCCTGCCTATTGGACTATTCAGAACTTTTCAAGTGGCCCTAAGCAAACAGTAATAGATGTTTGGGGAAATATTTGCACAATGAAGAGTATGTAAGAGAAGTCATTCCAGTAACAAAGCTCTGCTAAAGAAGGGAGAAAATGCCAGGAGGTGGTGGCGGCGGCGGCGCATGCCTTTAATCCCAGCACTTGGGAAGCAGAAGCAGGCGGATCTCTGTGTAAGTTCAAGCCCAGCCTGGTCTACAAATCGAGTTCCAGGACAACCAGAGCTGTTACACAGAGAACCCCTGTCTTGAAAAACAAAACAAACAAAGAACTGAAAACAATTCTAAGGGACATGGGTGAGAAGAACACATCCAGTTTTTCCAAGAAATGTGTGAGTACATGTTCAAGCTTAATTGTAGGCAGGGAATGCAAATTAAAGTAGTAATGGGTGTAAACCTGCCTGATTGAGAAAAATAAAAAAGATCTCTAATCCCTATTGCTGCTAGGTTCATTCAGTGCTAGGGGATACATACATCAATAGAGCCTTTTTTGAAGAGCAATCATACAGTATCTTTCAGTTTTCACATATGCACACCTTCTTGCTATTATATAGAGCTGCTCGGAATAATGAGGACAAGTAGGAGTATATTTCTAAGGTTGTTTACAATGTGATTGTTTATAGTATGTGGTGTTGGGGTAGACCTCAAACTACAGAAACTTAGACTAAATCAGAATAGATCTGCACCGTCAGCTGGTTCATAGCTAGTCAGAAGTATAGATTCAAATGATGCCAGTAGAATTTTGGAAATTCCTGTTTATTATGGAATGAAAGAGCCAATAAAAGTTTATAAGATGATAACATTTGATAAAACAGTAGCATTCTTCATGAATTTTTCCGTATGATTATAAATCATTATACAGAAAGGGTTATTGAAAAATACTTATAGTCATCAATTAAGTTCAGCGTAGAGAGAAAAAAGCAAAACGTTAGAAAGTGTGTACTATCATCACATTTGCGTATTACTGTGTTATACATGACCGTATCAGAAATGATAGGGGGCTGGAGAGATGACTCAGGTTAAGAGGACTGAGTTTGGTTCCCAGCAACCACATGGTGGCTCACAACCACCTAGAATGAGATCCGGTGCCCTCTTCTGACACACAAGTATACATGCAGTCAGAACATGTATAATAATAAATAAACAAATCTTAAAAAAAAAATGAGAAGTGCCTAGGAAATAAATGTTCTTTAGTAGTAAAAGAAAGATGTCTATAATTTGATTTTGAGGAAAAAGTTAAATTTTACCTATGGTATCTTGTTATTCATGTAATTCATACTCAGGGAAGAAAAGTCAAAATTTGGTATGAAAATTTCCAAATTAATAAAATTGGAAGTTTTAAGTTAACTAAAAAATGTATTGAGTATTGATTTTAGTTGTAACTAGAATTGGTATGAAATTTTCCAAATACTAAATTGGAAATTTTAAATTTCCTTGTATTGTGTTCACACTGATTTTAGTTGTGACATGGCTTTCCTTTTTACTTCAGGCAGCTGCAGCCGATGGACATAGCAGTAGCCTACTTCCTCAGATTATTCAGTGTTTTGCGTGTCCACATTGCTTTCTTTTGTTTAGCACCAAGGATGAGTGTTTGAAGCATATGTCTGCAAAGAATCATTCCCATCAGAGTTTTAACCTGGGCGGTATGTTACCCTATCACTGTTACATCTCCTTAAATGAATTACATCTTTGTAAATTATCATACTTTTCAAATGTTCTTGAAGTTAGCTATGTTTGTCAGCTTAGAACCACAAAAATGCTTTTATTTAAATTCTTGTTTTAAAAAAATGTTTATTTGGCCGGGCGGTGGTGGTGGTGGTGGTGGTGGTGCAGGTGGTGCAGGTGCACACACATCTTTAATCCCAGCACTCGGGAGGCAGAAGCAGGTGGATCTCTGTGAGTTTGAGGCTAGCCTGGTCTACAGAGTGAGTTCCAGGACAGCCAGGGCTACACAGAGAAACCCTGTCTTGAAAAACAAAACAAAAAACAAAAAAAAAAACAAACAAAAAAAAACAAAACAAAAAAAACCCAAAAAAACAAAAAACAAACAAAAATAATAATAAAATAAAATAAATGTTTATTTAATTCTGTATGTTTTAGCCCCCTTCTTTTTTTAGACAGGGTCTTGCTTTGTATCCCTGGCTGTCCTGGATCTCGCTCTGTAGACCAGGCTGGCCTCAAACTCACAGAGATCTGCCTGCCTCTGCCTCCTGAGTGCCACTGCCGCCTAGCTATGTTTTACCTATTTTGAGGGATGAAAAGAAACTTTCAAGGAAGCATATACACTGTTTTTGTTATCTGGGAGGTCTGGGAAGTTGGATCTTTCTCTGCATTTAAAACTCCTTTTAATCTGAGTAGAAGCCACTCTGTATTTCAGTCTAAAAATGGTCTCCCTTATTACTAAGTACATAACTATCTTTTACTTAACTGATGTTCAGAAAGGGAAAGGAGAGGCAGATTGGGTTACTCTCTGTTCCAATTACCTTGCAATTTATACTTGATTTTGTTTTTCAGATGGTAAGGCAACAGCTCATCCAATTTCCTTTCCATCTTTTGCAAAGAAACTTTTGGTCACCCTGTGCAAAGATGTTCCATTTCAAGTGAAGTGTGTGGCTTGTCACCAGACTTTGCGTTCCCACATGGAGCTCACTGCCCATTTCAGGTCTGTGTAGGTCTAATCTTAGGCTCTAACTAAGGGAGTCCTGGTGAGTTCTTCAGGAGTGGAAGGGGTCAGCAGGTTTTCTACTCCAGTGTCTCTCCTTTAAAACAAGAAGGGAGTTTTCCTGGAGAGTAACCGAATCTGGCAGAGGGAGAGAAGCTGGAGATGTGGGAGAAGTGTGGTTGGGAAGCATGGAGATGCAGAATGGGAGCCAAAAGGCAGAGGCTTCTTCATGTGAGGCAGCATTCTCAGGCTGTCCAACCTAGCACCACTTGGTCGTCTTCTTTAGCAGAAAAGCAGACATGGAGAGAGCATACACCTGACCGAAGTTAACCAGTTCTTAACGAACAGAGCTGGGAGCTGTGGTGCTTACCTAGAACCCTAGCGCTGGGAGGCTGAAGAAGAAGGATCACAGGTTTAAAGCTAGCCTTGGTTACATGGAGAAACTCTATCCAGGCGGTGGTGGCGCACGCCTTTAATCCCAGCAGTGGGAGGCAAAGGCAGGTAGAGTTTGAGGCCAGCCTGGTCTACAAATCAAGTTCCAGGAGAAACAGCTGTTACACAGAGAAACCCTGTGTCAAAAAATAAAATAAAATAAAATAAAATAAAAACAAGGGGCGACCAAACAAAACAAAGGCTGGAGAGATTCTCAGTGAATAGGAGCACATTGGGACTGTTCTTCCAGAAGGCCTGGGTTCAATTCCCAGCACCCACATGACAGCTCGTAACTGTCTATAACTCCAGTTCCAAGGGGTTAGATGCCTCCGCAAACACCAGGCACACAAGAAGTAAACAGACATGTAGACAAAACTCACGTGAAATAAATACATACAGTTAAATAAATTAATTAGTTAACCACAATAAAGCCAGAAAACAGCAACAAAAAAGAGTGGAATATTGTCTAGAATTTTACAGTGTTCATTCATGTATTTTAATGACCTTGGAGAATCTGATTTGTTTCAGGGTCCTTTATCAGTGCATTTGATACTGATTGAAATTTTCTAAATTTTGCCTTAATATTTTTAATGTTCTGATTCTATTAGATTAGAAAGATAAAATAGAGATAATATAAAAGTATTTTAAGATTAGAGTATCACTTAACTGCTTTATTGAAAAATATCTTTTAGTGCTTATTTATATTGTTACTTTACAAATCTTATCTTTACAGCAAAGAAAACTTATATATATTTTTTTTTAATTTAAATTAGAGTTCGTTGTAGAAATGCTGGACCTGTAGCTATAGCTGAGAAAAGCATTACTCAGGTTGCAGAAGAATTCATAGTAAGAGGTTATTGTTCAAATTGCAACCAAATCTTTGTGGATGAAGCCAGCATCGAAAGTCACAAGAATTCCGGACACAAAGTCGCAGTTGCTAACTCAGTGGAAGAGTCAGTCTTGCTCTACTGCCACGTCCGGGAAGGGAGTAAGCCGCCTTGTGACTTGCATTTATTCAATCAACCAAAGTTTTCATCCCTTAAACGGGTTATGTCTATTAAAGAGTCCAGCCCAGAGGACTGTGTTGTTCCAAAAAAGAAGCTAAATTTAGGAGGCGAAAACCATGGAGGACCAGCCTGTGTGCAGAGACAGAGTTCAGCAGTTACAGCCTGGTGTTGTGAGTGCAGTCGGCGTTTTCCAAATGAAGAGGCAGTAGAAAGACATGTCTTCTCGGCAAACACAATGTGTTACAAATGTGTGGTCTGTGGAAAGGTGTGTGAAGACTCAGGAGTCATGCGCTTGCACATGAGCCGGTTCCATGGAGGGGCACATCTAAATAACTTTCTATTTTGGTGTCGGACTTGCAAAAAAGAGCTAATAAAGAAAGACGCCATCATGGCACACATTACTGAGTTTCATAATGGGCATAGATACTTTTATGAGATGGATGAGGTAGAAGACGAAGCCTTGCCATCGTCCTCTGTAGTGAATTTGAATGCTGACAAGCCACCTTCACCCATTACTGTTGTCGATCATTGCCTGACAAACAGTCCTCCAAGGGGCAGGTGGCAGTGCCAGATCTGTGAAGATATGTTTGATTCCCAGGAATGTGTCCAACAGCACTGTATGTCCTTGACCAGCCACCAGTTTCACAGGTACAGCTGTGCCCACTGCAGAAAGACTTTTCATAAAGTAGAGACTTTGTACCGACATTGCCAAGATGAGCATGACAATGAGATCAAGATTAAGTACTTCTGTGGGCTATGTGATCTTATTTTTAACACGGAAGAAGCATTTCTGAGTCATTATAAGGACCACCACAGCACAGACTATGTGTTTGTGTCAGAAAAGACTAAGCCCTCAATTAAAACCGAGGAGGATTTTAAAATAATAGAGACCAGTAATTTGTTAAGCTGTGGTTGTCATGAGAGCTATGTCTGTAAAGTCAACAGAAAGGAAGATTACGATCGATGTCTTCAAGTCATGCTAGAAAAAGGGAAACTGTGGTTCCGCTGCAGTGGGTGTTCAGCGACAGCACAGAATTTAGCCGACATAAATACTCACATCCACCAAGTGCACAGAAGAGAAAAAAGTGATGAGGAACAGCAGTATGTGATCAAGTGTGGCATCTGCACCAAAGCATTTCACAATGCTGAGAGTGCTCAGCAGCACTTCCACAGAAAGCATGGTACCTTCCAGAAACCCAGTGTGACTCATGTTGGATCAGACAGAGGAAGCACGTGCAAGTTTGCTGCCAGTGTGTCCCACACTGAGAAAAAACTGCAGAAACATTCTGACGTGGAGAAAGCAGCTGAGCGTGACATGAGCTGCCAGAATCTAGGTACGGCTTTACAGCATGGGGCAAGTTTCACACACACACTGGGTCTTGCGTATGTGTGCTCACCAGCAAAGGCTGAGTGAATGCTGAAATCAGGAGGTCAGCTGATGACTGCAGCCAGTGTGCACTCTCAGTAGAGTAGATCTCTTCTTTCTCAGAGTTTTGAGAAATGACGGGTGCTGTACTCTTTCTTAAAGATTTGGGGGTTATTCTGAACCTTAAAATCATATTTTTCTTAAAATACGAAGTTTCATTTAAATGAAAATGGTTTTTTTCTGTGTGTGTGTGTGTGTGTGTGTGTGTGTATGTGTGTGTGTGTGTGTGTCTATGTGTATCTTTCTCTCTGTGTTGTGCTTAACCTTGTACATGCTAAGCAAGTGCTGTGTCACTGAGCTACATCACCAGCCCTAGATGAATTGCTTTTGTATCTCTTTGGCCTTGTTCTTATTTGTTTTTGTTTTGTTTGTTTAAGACAAGACCTCACAGTAGCATAGTTGGCCTGGGGCTGCTTTTGTAGCCTAGAAATTGTACCCATTCTTCTGCCTCCTCGTTCTTCTGCCTCCTAAGTGCTGGGATAACAGTCACAAGCTATCATGCCCAGCTTGGCCTTATTCTTTACATATGAGACATAATGGAGTTTAAGATTACTTTGGAACAAAGCTTTGTAATAAATAATTAAAATAGTGATTAGTAGAACTAGAAATGAGGGTGGGGAGTTGAGAGGTGATGTCCTTCCTTTATACTTCCTTTGAACTTTCCCTCCATATGATTGGATTAAGTAAATAAATAGTTCTTTATGTTATTTAAAAGTTTAATTATTTTTTACTAGTTCAGTAAATCTATCAACTTTTGAATATTGACCTGGTGAACTGTAAAAGGTAGAGCAGAAACAGTGAATAAATTTTGGCTGCTAGAATACAATCATTGTGGTTCATGTTTGATTTTTTTTAAAATTGTTTATTTATAAAGTAGCATTACAATAATATTTCAAGTAATAGTTTTCAACATCTGTCACAATCTGTCCACCCAGTGTAAGAACCCTGTAGTAAGGGAAGGAGGGCCTGCAAAGCCCTCTGCAGTGGGCCTGTGTACCTAGAATCTCCTGGTTTCAGCTGAGGAACAAAGAAGCCCTTTGGTTCTTGCTGCTGCCACAGCACCTGCTGAACTCCAAGACATTTATCTAGGGTAGAGTTTCAGCCTCAGTGAAAAAGCATTAAATCTTTCATGGTCTAATCAATTCTAGTTCCAAAAAAGTAAAACAGCAGCCACACCATTTTATATTCTCTTGTGCTTTTCCTTTGGTCTTCTTGTTGCATTGGGGAATGTGTGTGTGTCTGTGTTTGACAGAAGATGGCTGCAGCGTCTAAGATTTCTAAGAGCCAGAAGCTAGAGCATGGCTTACAGTAATTCCCTGAAGAGACCTCCATTAGGCCTGCTAGGAACCAGTCATTGAAAACTAGTCCAAGGTTTGCATGAATACCACTGGACACTATAAGGCCTTGTCAGGGCGGGAGAAGCTTGAAAGGGGAGGTAGGCTAAGAAGTGGAGAATGGGAAATGAAAGAAGAACCTGAGAGAACCAAGAAATGGACTTCCTGCCGGCACCTATTTCTCATACCTGTTGGATCAGGTTCTGAAGTTGCCTGAGTTGTGCCCTTGTGAGGGTTTAATCCTCAAGCCAGAGGGCTACTAATAAATAAGTCTAGATTAAGAGAAGCAAGTTCTTGTGCCAAGAGCATTCTTGGTAAATAATCTTGAAAATTAAGTTTGTAGGGTTTTATTGGGTCACTCAGGCTCCTATTTTCAACCAAAAATATTTAATTTCTATCACAAATGACTTTTTTAGAGAAAAGCCTTAGCTGGTCATGGTAGTGTGTGTCTGTAGGCTTAGCACTTGGGAAGTAAGGGTAGAAGAGTCAGAAGTTTGAGGCCAGCCTTGATAACATTGTGAGCTTGAGTACATTCTGGACTAAATGAGATCCTGTCTCAAATCAGAACAAAAACACAAAGGCCTTACAGTCAAAGGGAGATAGTATAAGAAGGATATATGACCAGGTGGAAATATCCTAAGTATTACCATCTTTAAGTCTAGGCAGATTTGGATTTCTTGAAAAGGTTTCAGTACGGATGAGGAATAGGAATAATGAACAGTTTTGCATATTGGACTTCTAATGTCTTTTAGACTTGAGGAATTAGAATATTTATGGACCATTCTTACTTACTTCATGTTATGTTTTTTTTTGTGTGTGTTCTTAGAGGAGGAAGTTGAGCTTCCAGATGTGGACTACCTGCGAACCATGACTCATATAGTCTTTGTAGATTTTGATAACTGGTCGAACTTTTTTGGTCATCTACCTGGGCACCTTAATCAAGGAACGTTTATTTGGGGCTTTCAAGGTATGGTTAAGAAGGAAAGTGTTAGAGGTACCTCTTCTGAGAATGTGATTCATTTGAAAAGGTCCCTTTGAGCCTTCCTGAATAGAACATGAAAACGTAGTTTGAGTATTGTTACTATGCATTACTCTACAAGGTTATGTGTTCACATTTATTACTTTATGGATATATGTGTGTGGAGGTCAGAGGGCAATTTGTGGCAATCGATTCTCTTCCTACATTATGTAGGGTTCAGGGATCAATCTTAGGTCATCAGTCTTAGTGACAAGCATCTTTACCCATTGAGCTATCTGGACTCTGGCCCTAGATTTTTGTTGTTAACATATTTCTATGGTAAGTATTAACTCTGTTAACCCAGAATTCATGTATCTTTTGATACATATGGAAGAATTAATTATTCAACACCTATAATGTGTCAAGACTTTTAAAATGCAAGAAAGCAGGCTGGAAAGATTGTATATGATTAGTTATGTGTGTTGTTTAAAAACGTAACACTAGCTTAAAACCAAAATTCAAAAGCTGGAGATTGCTCAGTGGTTAAGAGCACTGACTGTTCTTCCAGAGAACCTGGGTTCAATTCCCAGCATCCACATGGCAGCTCACAGCTGTCTGTAACCCCAATTTTAGAAGATCTGACATCTTTGCACATTCAGGCAGAACTTCAATGCACATAAAAATAAATAAATCTTTAAAAAACAAACAAACAACCCCCCCAAATTCAAGGAAAACAGACTGAGAAGCTTGTGTTTTGTTACAGTATTACTAGAAAGCAGAGTTATCTCTTGCACTGTGGTCTCCTAGCTATGGGAGTGTAGTTATTTTCAGTGTGCCACAATTGCCTCTTCAGTTCATTGTTGCTGCTTACGAAGAACCACTTCACTAGATACTTCTATAACCACTGACCAGGCCTATGGGGAGGAATTCTCTGATTTACTAAAGTTTAGTGTACTGAGTATCTGATAGTTCATTTTTCAGAGGAAATGGCATACAAAGTTAAGGATTGGTATTAAAGATAGAAACATACTGATCTGGATAAATTAGCCAATCTAATGTTTTATTAAATCCAGCTCTGCTGATTGTCTCACTTTTTTAATTTTTAAAAATTCTTGATAATTTCATGCATACATATACACATGCATACATACATGCATGCATGTGTGTGTGTGTGTGTGTGTATGTGTGTGTGTGTGTGTGTGTCATATTCACCCCCATCACCATCTCACATCTCACTTCTCCTGCTGCCACTGAACCCCTTCTTGGTATATGTGCTCTGTCTATTCCTGTCTGTTTTTGCCTGCATGAGTATGGGTTGGAGGTTAGGTAGCAGAGCATGGGCAGTTTAACAGTGACTGTACCACTGAAGCCAATGGCCCCGCCTCCAGCGACCATGAGCTCCTCGACAGTCCGTTATGGCATGGTGATGGCCCACCTGATGTAGGACATCATGGTTACAGTGAGTTCACAGTTGTGGTGCCCTGATGTGTCCAGAAGACAGTGTTTCGGAATACTCTTCCATCCACTGGCTCTTACATTCTTCTCCTTCCTCTTTCATTGTGTTTTCTGGGCACTGGAGGGAGTTACAAAGATGTGCTCATTTGGGGGTGATCATTCGACCATCAGTTACCTCAGGATTTTAACTAGTATGAGTCTGATTTAACTTGAGGCCACACAATTGAAGCCTCTGAGGAAGATGAAGAGCAGGAGTAGCACTAAGCTGTGCTTTGTTTCTTACCCACTGATTTTGGCAGACTTGTAAAACCATCCACATTTTGAATTTATGTAGAATGATACCATTCAAAGAATGTTAACATTTGTTTGTTTTTTACTCTGCTCACTATCCATATGAACTTGTAAGAAAAGTTACTTTTTATGTGTATGGGCATTTTGCCTGTCTGTATGTCTATGTACTACCTGCTAGTGCTCATGGCGACCAAAAGAGGGTGTCAGATTCCCTGACACTGAAGGTGTAGACATTTGTGAGCTACCTGTGGGTGCTGGGAATCAAACCTTAGTCCTCTGGAAGAACAGCCAGTGTTCTTAACCACGGAGACATCTCTCCGTCCCCTCACCCATGAACTTGTACATGTATAGGCAGATTAAAGGAGTCGGTCTCCATCCCCAAGACTGTAAAGCAACAAGATGGTGATGCCTCTGGTGGGACTGAGACAGCATCTCATGTAGCTTCAGGCTGGCCTCGGACGTGCTTTGTAGCTGAGGCTTTGCTTGAACTCTGGGTCGTCATGCCTCCGCCGTGCATGAGTTTGCACCACCAGGCCTGGTTGATATGGTGCCGGAGGTCAAACCCAAGGCTTTTTGCATTCTAGGCATGCACTTTAATAAGTGAGGTACATCTTCAGGCCGGTTATCTCACATTGTGATTGATAGTACTTTTAAGAAAAAAAAAATACTATGTTTTATCTTGAAAAGGTTTTCAGTCTTTCTCTTTCCCTGCTTGACTATCACTTATATTTCTCTAAAATTATAGGAGGAAACACCAATTGGAAGCCTCCACTCAGCTGTAAGGTGTATAACTACTTGAATAGAATTGGATGCTTCTTCCTTCATCCTCGCTGTAGTAAAAGAAAAGATGCTGCTGATTTTGCCATATGTATGCATGTAAGTAGGTGTCTTATTAAAAACCCGATGTCAGTCAGGATCCATTTGGATTTCTTCCCACTTACACAGTAATGGCAGCATAGTTCATTATTCAGTGCTGGTTTTTATGAAACTTTCTGTATCAGGTTCTCCTTACTGCTGTGTGGTCTGGCAAGGACCCACCACATACTCAACTACTGCTTATGTCTGTCCTCTAGAAGATCTTCATCTGTCTGTAGCAGACTTATTCATTTATGGAATAGATAGTTGAGGTGGTACTGTACTTGCTGTGTACTAATACTTTCACATTTTAATACCTGAAATTGAGATGCACTGTATCAATCACTGTAGTGCTAGATGGACTTTGCATTTGAATCTGCCTCTGCCAGTCACCCGGCGAAACTCCTGAGCCAGTACTCCCTTTATAGTACGTGCTCTGCTTGATGCTTTGTGTCACTCATGGAATGTGAATGGATGCTTTTGCAAACATGTCACTTGCTCTTTCAACCTCAAGAGAATCCTTTCTCCTTTGATTGAGTCGCACAGCTCACCTTGTACATCTTCCCTGGGAGGGTCTATTTGCCATGGTGGCCTTTTAGGTCCCTCCTTCAGGTAGGTGCCTCTTTTGTACATGCAGTTTGGCTGATTCTTTTTCCATAATGGTACATAAGTAGGTTATCTTGCAATTATTGGCATCTTATATTTGATTAAATGTATATCATATTTCATTTATGAAGGCTGGCTAGGGAATGATTCTGACATAACTTTACTAGATATGTTTTCATTGTGAAATAGATGTTACTTGGTTTGAAACTTGCAGATTTTTAAGAATCTCTGCTGTTTGTTCCAACTTAGGCTGGCCGACTAGATGAACAACTGCCCAAACAAATTCCTTTCACCATCCTCTCGGGAGACCAAGGTTTTCTGGAGCTAGAGAATCAATTTAAGAAGACTCAGAGGCCGGCTCACATACTAAACCCTCACCACTTAGAAGGAGACATGATGTGTGCCTTGTTAAATAGCATATCTGATACTACCAAAGGTATGCAGCTGCCGTCACAGTGCAAACCACCCAAGAGGAGGAGATTTCACTGCTGAGAGAAGCCAATAAACTGCTGTCTGCTTCCTAAACCTTGGTGCTTTCAGATGTCTGTCTTATTATCCTTTCTTGTTTACTTACATTCTTGTTTGTCTAATCTTAGAGCTCAGGCTCGCCTCGAACTTCTGTCTGGTACAGGCTGATGTAGCAGAGGCTAACCTTGAACTCCTAATCCTCCTGTCTCTTCCTCCCAAGTGCTGAGATTATAGACCATCATGCCTGGCATTGTACTGTCATTCATTGTATGTCAGAATGAGGATAATTCACAGTAATTTTCAACAGCCTTTTTTATTCTAGTAGATAAAATCAGTATCCTCTTGTTTAAAATATTCATGTCTTAAAACATGTTAAAGTTCAGAATTGAGATCTTTACTTTGTTTCTGAAAGTGCAAATGTATCTTCAGGTTTTTAGAAAATATAGTCTGCCACCTGAATGCATCCAATTTTGTCAGAAAATGAGGTATTAATAGATAAACAAGAAAGCAAAAAATAATACCTAGAAGAAAGGTTGAGTACTCTGAGAGTCTGACCATGACACAGTGAAGTGCTGATGAGCCTGTAAATCCTCGGGTAGATAGGCACCTCCTACTTACTGCTGTGGTTGGTACTTTCCTGTTCACCTTTGGGAGTTTGTCCATGTTTAGGAGTAGTGATGTTCCGTCTCACCGACCAATATTATAAAAAAAAAGTAATTACAGGAATTCTCCTGTTTTTCCTAATTTCTGACATAAATATGAATAAAGAGAATACAAGAATAATATTTTAATCATCTAGTAGACAGCTGTGGTGATTCACACTTGGTACTTCTAGCATTGAGAGGTTGAAGCAGGAGCATAGCTGTGAGTTCCAGGACAGCTGGGGCTACAAAGTGAGACCCTGTTTCTGGAAAAAAGAAAAATAATAATAATAATAATAATAATAAAGCTATAGTAATGAGGTATATTAAACAAAATGAAAAAAGATTTGAAGATTTTGGTGAATGGCCTCAGTGAAAACTGACCACTTCTCGGGGGTGTTATTGTATGGTTTAGCATTTTCCAACTCTGTCTTTAGCTATTTTCTTTTTTTTTTTTTTAAGATTTATTTATTTATTATTTATACAGTGTTCCTTTTGTATGTATGTCTGCACCCCAGAAGAGGGCACCAGATCTCATTATAGATGGCTGTGAGCCACCATGTGGTTGCTAGGAATGGAACTCGGGACCTCTGGAAGAGCAGTCAGTGCTCTTAACCTCTGAGCCATCTCTCTAGCCCGCTATTTTCTTTTAATATATTTAAAACTATATTTTTATTGAAAACTAATAATGAAGAATGTTACTCTCATCGGGAGTTACAGTGTATCAGTTGATTGTCCAAATTATGATTTTATTTAACCCTTTTGAGAAGAGTGCGGTTTGAAAATGGTCTCTATGTCCCAGATTGATCTGAGCTCCAGATCCTGTGGCCTCCACCTCTGAAGTGCAGGGACTAAAGGTGTGTGCTACCATGCTTAGCACTCAACTACACTTTTTGAAACAGTAGTGAAGCTGGGTGCAATGGCACATGACTATAATCCAGCCCTTGGGGGACTGAGACAAAGAGAATTGGGAGTTGACAGCCAGCTTTGACTAATGTGTACAAAAGTCATTGTAGTGGTGCAAGATTAAAAAGGAGAGTGAGCTCTTCCATATTTATACCATACCTTAGTTCTGAATATTACCTTCCTATTCTCTTATTTTTATTTTCATCCACTTAATTTTTCTATCTAGGGTTTCTTTTAAAAACAAAACCAAAAAATACTAACCAACCAAAACCACGCCATTCCTCTTTGTCATCACTTCGTCCTCCGCGACCTACGTTGCCTTGGCCACACTAAGTTAGCCTCATTTTTCCTCTCTCATGCTCTAGTTTGGGACTGTTTCTTAAAGTATTTAGAATGTCAGACTTGTAGATCTGCCTGTGTGCTGTTATCAGGAGTGAGCACTGTGTGAGTAGGTTTGTGTGGGTGCCCTGGGGGTAAGCAGTTTCCTGGCGGCTGCGGAGGGTGCCTCATGAATACTCATGCTTCAGTAGTCCTTTTCCATCTTGCTTGTACTCAGAATTCATTTGAACTTACTGCTTTGGGAGGAACTTTGTGAAATGCAAAGATTGTGCCCCAAATAGGGAAAGCCATGGGCTTCAAATGAAGGCAAACTTTGTAGCTTCCCAGCTGATCTCAAACAGGTTACCCTACTTTTCTTCTGAACCTTATTTTGATATCTGTTAGGTTATAAGAATTGGTGATTTGTATAAATGTGTCTAGCACAGTATCTGTAAAGCACTTAAAATGTTCAGAGAATCATACTATTTTTTAGGCCTGCATAGAAAGGAAATATTCCTAACCACTGTGTTTTTAAAGTAATAAAAGTCACAAGGATCATTGCTGAAGAAGAGGCAGGGTGAGTGTCAGAGCCAGAAGGGGAGGGTGACTAAGGGGCTCCTCCAGACACAGCAGAGCAGCTGCACACATGAACTCACAGCTGGCGTGACATGCACAGGGCTGGACAAGCTGAAGCCAGACCACATCCCAGCACGGAGATGGGAGTCGGGCATGAAGTCCTGCTGCCCGCTGGGGAACCACTCAAAATTAACAGCTGCTGGGGGAAGGTGTTTCTGTCTGTAGATTTCATGGCAATTTTCTTAAGACTGAAGTTTTGGGATAGGGGCATTTCTGTTGAATGCTTTCTCCCAAATGTGAATGTGTAGTATTACATAAAAGTCTCAGATTTGTCTCCATACTAAGCACTAACCAGCAAGCAGAACTCTCGTTTTTAGGATACAATAGAAGTGCTTTTGCTTTCTTTGACTGTGTTGCTGGGACTTGAATCTAACCTTGTGCATGCTGGCAGACACTCTTAGCAGTTAGCTCTACCTCTCACCCTGCAACATAGCAAGAAGTGCTCAGAAAATAGAAGTCTCATTCTCAGAAACTTAACATTGCCAAGGTTGAATATGGTATTTATTAAACTGGAGAGTCCTGTATAGTCAGAAATAACCATTTGAATAATGGCATGAAGGATCAGTAACACATGGTATTTTCCTTTTTTTTTTTTAAAGATTTTATTTATTTATTATATACACAGTGTTCTGTGTGTATGCTTGAACACCAGAGGAGGGCGCCAGATCTCATTACAGATGGTTGGGAGTCACCATGTGGTTGCTAGGAATTGAATTCAGGGCCTCTGGAAGAGCAGCCGGTGCTCTTAACCTCTAAGGCATCTCTCCAACCCGACACATGGTATCTTATACTTGGAGACTATAGCTGTTGTTAGTTATTCAGTTAATCGGAAAGTCTTCAGGAAATATTTA